CCCCACGCCCCCGCCTGCTCACCGGGGTAGCCGCGGCGACCGGGCACCTCCTCACGCGCAGCAGACACCTGCGGGCGGCCGCGTTGGGGAAGGGGGGGACGGAGACGTTCTTTTCCTCGCCGTCCAGCACCGCGCGGCGGCATCGGCTCCGGGGAGAAGCCCTTGCTACGCAACATACCGCTACGCACGCACCCCACCCTACACATAGACACACACCCTTCCTGCACATACAACTCCCCATCCCTACCTTCTCAAACATACGTACACACACCAACACAGACATACACACACACACACACGAATGCGTCCACCCACACGCACAGGTGCACAAAAACACGTGCGCGCGCACCTCGCGCAGCGCGTCTGCGTATGAGCTCATGTCTGTGAGGATGACCAGCACGTGATAGCCGCACTCATAGGCCAGGTACTCTGGGGGGTTCGTTGGTGGGGTGGGGGGGTGGAGGGGGTGGACGATGAAGGGGCTGAGGGTGAGGGTGAGGGTGAGGGGGTGGCGGCGAACAGCGAGGGTTTGGGCAGAGTCCGCCCCCCAGCCGGCCCAATGCGCTAGGCCCCAGCTTGACAGACCGCTAAGTTCAACAGCCTCGCGCCGCTGACTCAGCTCGAGACTCAGTCAGAAAGTCCCGAAAACAAAACCCACAAACACATGCACACACACACACACACACACACACACACACACACACAAAGCCCCGCCCGCGCGGCCCTCACCCGCGGTGGTGAGCGCGATGCGTGGCGTGATGATGCGCTCGATGGTGGGGTCGTTGGCCAGGTTGAGGAACAGCACGGTGCGCTCCAGGCTGCCGTTCTCCTCGAAATCCTTTGGGAATGTGGGGTGGGGTGGGGTGGGGTGGGGTGGGGAGGAGCGGCGGCAAGGGAGGGACGCTTTGCAGGCGGGGATGGCACGACGCATGATGCCCTGGGAGACGCGGCGGGCCCCGCCCGAGTACTCCCCGACCACCGACCTGCCGAACCAGGTCCTTCTGAGGTTTGCAACGCCAGAGGAGAGCCCCGACAACCACCAGCTCCCCCGACCTGCCACCGCACCTCCCCCCACACCTCCTGTTGAGCCCACTGCCCCGTTCCAAACACACACGCACACACACGCACACTTACATACACACACATTCACTCTCACACGCACACATTCACACACCCAAACCCCCACCTGCTTAAAGAAGTGGCTGGTCTCCATGTTGACGCCCATGGCCGCAAAAACGATGGCAAACTGCGTCTCCTCCTCGGCCTCGCCCTTCAGCAGGTTGCCCTGGGGGGTGACGTCATCGATTGGGGGTGGGGTGGGGGGGTAAGGGGGGTAGGGGGCAGGATGATTTTGACGGGAGGAGGGGGGGCGAGGTGGTGGAGAGGAAGGGTGCGAGAGAAGGTGCATGAGGGGAATTTCCAAGTGTTGCACAAGTGTCAGAGAGCATGTGTGTGTGTGTGTGTGTGTGTGTGCGCGCGCGCGCGCGTGTGTGCGTGTGTACGTGCATGTCTGCATGCAAATGCAGCTTTCAGCAAGGGTCTGCAGACGCCAGTTCCCAGCGCCAGCCATCACATCCTCCCCCCCCCACACACACACACTCTCTCTGTCTTTCCCTTTCACACACACACACATACACACATGCACACGCACACGCTCACGCGCGCACACACGCACACTGATTCCATCCTGCCCACCTCGTGGTGCACCAGGCCGGCCTGCCTGCAGATCTGAGCCGCAATGTCGTTGTGGGGCAGACCTGCAAAACACGCGGGGTGGGGGGGGGGGGCAGCGGCGAGGGGCGCGTCGGTGGGGTTCTGGCCGGGGCAGTTGCGGGCGCCGCAACAAGCACCAGTGGAATCCGACAGGATGTGCGCGCAGGCTGACACACAGAGGGCAGGCGAGCTCTTTGTGTGCACGCACGCCCGGGCGAAACCAGAATCGGGCACGAGCGCGCCGCGCCCTCTCCGTAAGCGGGGCCTGAGTGGAAGCGTTCAAGCGGCGGGCGGCCGGCGCCGCGGGGGGCCCGCTTGCCTGCTGCGGAGAAGAGTGGGATCTTCTGTCCACGCGCGATGGAGTTCATGACGTCGATGGTGGAGATGCCGGTCTGGATCATCTCCTCGGGGTAGGTGCGCTCGCTGGGGGTGGG